TCTAATGAAATGATACCCTTTCCCAACAAATGATGTTTCTGGCAGCTTTGCATTTGTTGTTTTAATTGTACTAGATCAGTTGTGCTACTGACTGCCTAAAAGCTCCAGGGAAAGAACCTTCCAAAGCACAGATTTGTTTTTAAAGAATCTAGGCTCACCCCCTCTTGTGCTTACACCGGCTCTCAAAGACGGATGGGAAGGCTGGGCACAGGTAATGATCCTGTATGAAGGAGGAGGCTCTTGCGAAGCAGTCAGTGCAACGTTTCAGAGGAACAGCATGAAGGCTTGAGTAGGGGTGGAGGGCTGGGAAGCAGTGTGGATAGAAGCAGAAGCTTCCTTAGGAGAAAGGTGTGTCAAAAACAACTATATTTTTGGAAAATAAAGTGTCCCCTTTGCTCCCCAAGAAGAGGGCTGCAACTCTGCCGAATGTTAGGTGCTCTGTTTGACCACGTGATAACCACAACCTCAGACTGTACAACCGTACAGGTTCTAACAGAGCTGCATGAACACGCACCAGGACACACAACTGCAGTAGTTAAAGGGACTTGGCAATGCGTCCACTCATCTAAGTGAAGTCGCAAAAACCTAAAAATTATACGGCATTTCTTTTCCTGGCTGTGGTACACAGACACTGTAGGTGTTTATCATAGCCACAGCTGGTGTACTAGCGGCCTAACAGTTAAGCACTGTCTTCGGGAGGGAAAAGGCTTACTAAAATATCAGATTCAGACATTAATCTACCTTTCTCCTTTAGCAAAATCATCAATTTATACATTATAAAGGGGTTCTGTTTTGTTTTGTTTCTTTTGCTTTAGATAATGCAAAAAAAACCCCAAACATATAAGAGAACTGAGAAAGCCTGCTGCTCATTAAAAACTCAGCAAGATATTTTGGAGAGCTGCTTGTGTTACTTGAAACAGCTATACAATCACCATCATTAAGGAGATGCCTGCATTTCCCAGACTCTTTGCTTTTTGGCTATAACATACATAACATGTATAAATATCACTTACCCAAATACTTGAATGAGATATTTGAGACTTCTGTCTCCAAAAACTTAAAAAATGAAAACCCCCAAAATACCTTATCAGGATAGTTCACTCTTGCAAAAAGAAAAGGAAAACACTTTATTCTTTTTTTTTTTTTTTTTTTTGTGGCATAAAGGCAACTTATAAATTGTCATGTTTGTTCAGGGTGTAGAGATATTTAAGAACTCGTCAAACAACATACTTCTGAAATCAGACAAAATTGAACTGCAATACAGATCAATCAGTTAATGGAAATCACAAAGCAGAAGAGATCTAGGGCTGCTTAACGTTATGCTCTGCGCAGCATCTGTATCATTGTAGCTCACCACCACCAACTGTTCAGTGATGGGAACCGAAATTTCTAGCAGAAACACGCAAATTGAGCACTGCTAGTGCAAACTCCGAATCTGAAAAATAATATGAAAAGGTCTGTATTCAGACAGTCATTCTTCCTTATTTTGGACATAAAATGGTAAGACTTACGAACAATCAAGAGAACTAAAATTTCTGCAGCCATTAGGTGAAAATTAACTTTATTAAAAAAAAAAAAAAAAACCACAACAAAAACCCAACCAAACCAACCAAAAAAACCCAAAGTGACAACGAAACAACACCCTCCACCCCACCCCTCCCAAAAAAACAACCCCAAACATCCAGTATCACAACAGATCTCAATGTTTCAAGCTGTGGGTCCTGTCAAAGTAGCCCCTAACAGCTGCTTGCTTGGACAAGGAATGCGTTCAAAATAGTCACAGTGACACAGTGTATTCTCCAAATAGCTAAAGATGATGAAGATAAACACGTGCATTCTACCTAAAAGGTGGGAGTGTGTGCATGGAAGCAAAGGCTACAAACACCCGAGTCGCCCATCACTGGCGTTAGCTGCCCCCCTCTGCCTCGTGCAATGGTTGGTGGGCTCGCAGTGCCTCCCCTGCCCGGCACCACCGGAAAGGGTCCCAAGGACAGCTATGGCAGCATGTGTTCCCATGTTTTAAGTAAGCTTTGGTCAGGTTTTGAGACAAAAAGCAGGAAGAAAGCAAGCATTCACAAAGGATGTTCTCCGTAGCATTGTATCTTCTACTATAATTAACATTATTTTCCCCTGAAACAGAAAGTACTGTTCGGTACTACATACTATTCATCTGAATCTTTTTCTTGGCTTGAAAATTGTTCCCTCTTCTCCCCACTCATTAAATCTTAGTTGCCTGTATTGCTATTGCTACTTGTTGAGTACAGTTGTGTTGTCTCAGATGATAGTTCCTTGCATTTGGTTGATCCGAGGGTCAGTATTAAAGGTACACCCTGAGTAAACCAAAAAGCATGCAAAGTCAAACCGGAGAAAAAGCTGTGGTCACGCCCTTCCACTTTGGTCTCCTTGTGTAGTCTTATTAAGAACAGTGTTTAAATGTTTATTGCATTGCCCTAGGCTATCTGGCTAAAATCCTTCTGTTCACAACCAAGGAGAGCTTTCCTACAATGTCTTAGTATTACAGAAACCGCTGTTAAAACAATTCCATAATAAACAACCCGCTCAAACAACGCCCGATAACCAGTCGCCAAGATGAGCTACAACACTACGGAATCTCACAGTCAGATAATTGCTGCTAAATTTCTGAGAACAATCAGCTGAGGTGCTATACATTCAGAGACATTTCAAGATATTTTACTGATATTTTTTGTAGCCTAACAACTGCAGATACACAACTGTATTTGGAAAAACTAGAAACTACCTCACTATAGGGTGAGAGATAATGAGTTAAAATTAAAGGTTGCTGCCGGCTTGCTAGCCCATCCCCCTTTAGCTAATCTGTCATGTAATGAAGAGAAGCACCTAGCATAGGACAGCTAGCTGCCGGCTCACTTACAGCAAGCTGATTAAGAATGTTCAACCAACAGCAGACTGCAGACCTTTCCAATGAAAATAAATAGACTGTATGCAAATGTGTTTGTCACTTTGACAGCATGTCTCAATTAAAGCATCTCGCTGCTGTTGGTAGGCGCTCTCACTGCAGTGGTATGGACGAGGCTTACTGCATTACTGATACACAGGGCTTGACCCTAATCCGCATGCATGCATTTTAAAAAAGTCTGCCTTTGCCATATACACTAGCATAATACTAGCAGACATAGAAAGCAAGTGACAATGAGAAAAAAGCCCCTTTCATCCTCTTCAGTTTATAAGAACTGTGAATGCACAAACAGCCCTTATTTCAGAGTTCTTGTGGCTTTTTAATTGTTCCCACCTACTGTATTCTAGACAGAGTTAAAAGTGACACTAAAATCTCTCCCTTTAATCACTAGTTAGAAGCCATCTCCCATTTAAACAGTAAACGTTGCTGCTTTTTTCCTCCCCAAAGCCTTAATTTATATTTCATAAACCTGAACATCTTTTCCTTTTGAATGAAAGTATGATTTAATTTTCATTTTGGCATTGGGCTAAAAAAACCCCAGACCTGTGAAAGGACAAAGGCTATAAGTGAGATAGCCCTACAACTGCTAAGTTCGATAATTTTCTGGAAACCGACATTTGTAATGTAATGACAGTAATAAGCATTTAGCAAGCGAGCCCTTCACCACAGCCAGTGGTTCCCTAAAGCTGATGTGTGTTTCTTTTGACACAGAGAAAGTGATCATTAAAAAATTTGAAAGTGACCGTTAAAAAACCCGCATGAATTTAAATTTGCACTTTCCACTCGATTATATATTTCATTAATCTACCAAAATGTTTGAACCATCCATCCTTCATAAAAATCTAAAGGAAAAAACGGGAAGTAGATTATAATATTCTCTGGATTTCTGACTGCTTTAAATGAAATGTAACATTTTCCTGCTAGAGCTAGATGGCTACGTTTCTCCAGTAGCCCCAATTCCTCTCAACCGTATTGGCACAGAAAGTAAGTGAAAAATAAATCACTACTGCAAATATTTAATTGGAAGAGAATCTTTTTTAAAAACGAAGTCTCCAAGAACTTACATTTAGCACAGTGGTGAAAGTTCTGCAAGAAACAAATCTAATTGTAAAATGACACAGCCAACATTGCTCTGAGCAATGACTGTATCTCGTGTAGCCCTAATACCTACACAGTCAATGCAGCTGCACTGACTAGTTTCTATTAATAGACACTTATCTAAAAATCTGGTTTGCTTCACATTTTATAATTCCCAATATTTTACTATTGTCTTAAAATTACGCTATGTTTCCTTAGAAGAAATCAGATATTCACTGCTGTTTTCTGATCATAATACTGTAAAAAACATACAGAGAAAGAAAAGAGAACTGTGAACACAGATAATGTTATTTTTTGAGTCAGGCTACACTTAATAGGGGAACACTGGCAAACTGACAGTAGATACTGTATGTTTTTCCATGAAAATCACAGCAACTACAGCATTTTCTAAATAATTAGCTCTTAGAAAAAGAACCACACAAAAACCTCACTCTTTTGCAGACATATCAAAAGAAACATTATAAGAGTAACTAATGTGTATAGCTCAGTTGTCAATACTGAAGTACAGAGTACACTAATAAGCTATTAATTGATTTTTCCATCTTAGTTCATCACATTTAATTTTCAGAGAATGTTAAAATGCCTTAATAGTTGGATGTTCTATATTGACACTAGTGATCTGGGCTAGATAACAGAGAACATTTTAAATTATACATCCTCAGGCCTCAGGGCTATAGCACTTTGCATGCTAAAAGAACAGCAAAATAGTTTACAAAATTGTTATAATAATTATGCTCCCCCCCAAATTCACTTAGATTTTATTTTCCTCAAAATCATCGTATGAACAAAAGGAATCAGTAAGCCCCAGAAAAATCAAGTTTTAGAATCCCATTTAAACAGATATAACAGAAGTAAATCTGTAACATAATTCAGTTACAAAAAAATAATGAAACAATTGGCATACTCATTATGAACTGTTTTTGCTGAGTCACACAATTTAAAGAAACCTAACACTAAGACATACCTGACCAAAATGTACTGTGATTGGTCTTCTGTCTTCTCTTAATTTGGGGTCCTTCTTCTCAACCAATGGAGAAGGCGCTGTCCTTGGTAGAGCTTCCTCTGGCGCTGCAGAACACCCGTTCTCAGCAATGTCCTGTATGGTAGGAAAAGGTGAATAGCGTGGCCAGGAACGTTCTTGAGTAAGGGAAAGGGGCACAAAGGAGACACTAGAGGATAATGCTGACTAACAATTTTGATGTTAGGGGGAAAAAAACAAAGTACAGAAAAGAAAACATCATGAGAATACAACATTTCGTTGCACTTTGTCAATCAGAGCTTGTACACAACCACTCTCTCCTCCTGACACCAATGTTGTGTGCAAACAGACACATTCAATAGAAGTCTGACTTAAACATGCAAAAGCCAGGAAATATATAGGGAGAAAAAAAAACCCTAGCTCAAAATTTCTGTTCTAGCAACAAATTCAACAGAAACTTCGGAACAGGGCTATTCTGCTTTCTGCAAACCTAAATTAAAACAGTAATTCTATTTACGTACTTCAGAGAATTATCTGTAGTAGAACAATTACTTGTGGAAGTGGCAAGGAGAGATGAAACCCACAGCCTAGTTAGCTCTGCATTTTATCTTTGAGTCTGTGTATACTGAATATGCCTTCAGGAGACTGTGTAAAGCAAACTGCTGCCTAGCAGGATGCTTTTTTGGTTTGCTTTGCTTTTGCTTTTGACATTAGTCCTCATCTTCAGAAGTGAAGTGACCCATCAACCTAGGTTAGAAGACTTGGCAAGTGTATGTATGGTATATGTAACATAGGTTTTGAAAAAGACAAAAGCATGCAGACATAAGGAATCAGACAAGGAGAAAAGAGTTTGAAAGTCAGTTGAGAAATAGTCTGTAACGCAGTGGGCCCCAAACCTTACATCTCTTTGCAACAATGTCAAGGAAATAATGCTTGGTAAATATAGAGAGAAACCCACACACACTGTAGCTCTGCAAGACTGACCTAAGGTTGGCTGCTGACACAGACATTGCTTTGATTCACTGACCTTTGACATGCCCCCTCAAGTTGCCGTCTTGCTAAGGTACAATAATGAGACATGTAAGCTGATGGCCAATTAGAAATGGTTCTTTTGGACACAGACTGACCTAATGTGTTTAGGTCAAATGAAACAAAAAGCTGGATGGACTTTCTAAGGGGCTTTGTCTGCTCCACAGAGAAGCTGAGAGACCTTTTTAGATCCAGCTGGTAGAGCAGTGGTTCACCAATACGGGCATAAGGATCGTGGGGAAATTAACAACTTGTTAAGGTCAAACTAGAGAGAAGAACTTTTTCCTCCCCCCGCCCTCTGGCTGCACAATGCTACCTTGTCTTTAAAAAAATTCGGCAAACTACACCGGATTAGTAACAAAGAGCCCCAAAACAACTCAATGACATGAACTGTAAGCTTCTGTCAAAGTCATACTTCAGCTCCAAAACAGCAACAAGCTACCAAGGGATCTGGTCAGTTTTGGAATCACGTAGTACTGTTCTGAAATCTAACGACATTAAATACAAACTTTACTTACGTATTTCTATACAAGTACAGCCATATTAAATGTGCACCAAGCTTCAGATGTGTTATGTATACACCGTAAAGGTGCCCAGCACATTCAAAGCCACCTGCACTGAGCAGTGGACGATCCCAGCACTTCAGAGCTTGCAGAGCTCCACCTGGAGCTGTGGCTCCAGCCAAGGCAATAGACAGCTGGGAATCAACGGAAAGCAAAGCATCTTCCAATTCAGGCAAAATTTCCAGAAAAATGTAAAGCAGATGCAAAAGTTTGGACATCGGGGGAATGGGAGGAGATAAAAGATACAGACAGATCAAGTCATTAAGCAAAACCCCCTAAGATGTGTAACAATCACTGCAAATCCTTGCACCTTTTATTGCTACAAATTTGCTGTACTTCTCTGATGACACAATTGCATACAAAAGATAACGTGTTCCTAAAGCGTGTTTCCACCATGTTTGGTGTACAGACTTCCAAAGAAACTGCAGCAGATTTCAGTAAAAAAAACATTTTTAAAAAAATTACTTAATAAAATATGAGAATTAAATTATTTGATACCTCTTTGTTTTTTCAAAATCCCCAAAAGGCAGACAAATCAACAACACAGCTTCAGTCATCAAAGCAGAATTTGCTTCACAAAAGTCCATTTTCTACCTTCAATGGAACCACATTTGAGCTAAATAAACTGAGAAACCCGATTTGAAACACCCCAAATAAGGGCTCCAAGTAGCTTTAAAATGATTAGATTTTGGCAACGTCAAAGCGTTTGGCATTTCTGTAATTGGAAAGTAGACGACAGCCCTTCAAAGCAGTCTGTGACATACCTCAGTCCACTAACAGACTTTGAATACAGTTATTCCAAAGTCAACGGGGAGTACAAGACAGACGGAGAGATAAAAACCACAAATAGGAAAACAGGACTCTCCAATTCTGAACTTCAGCTTCAGAAAGGTATCAGGGCTCACAAAATGTCTACTGCTAAAAGCAGTTCTTCAGCGCGAGAACTACAAGTGACCACAGAACTGCGGCGCATCACGGCGCAGGCAGGCCTTTGCCCATTCCTGGTACCAAAGGAAAAGCCGGGCAGACCTGCGCGTCCCTGCTGAGGGAGAGGAGCTACCAGCCAGGTACCAAAGGAAAAGCCGGGTAGACCTGCGCGTCCCTGCTGAGGGAGAGGAGCTACCAGCCAGCACGCCGCCTCGTGTCGCCACGCTGCCGCCGAGGCCAGGGCTAGCACTTCCACCTGAAGCTGTGCTGGAAGCGCACCAGGGTTCTTCGTACTGCGGTGCATCACACCATGTAGGTATGTCCTAAGTCCGACTTTTCAGTTCCAACACGTCCCCAAAAAAGGGATTTGGTATAAGCCAGCAGGACACTCCTGAAGTAGCGTAAGTCGTATATATTATTCAGGATAACAACAAAAACCATGAGACCTATCTCCCAAAAAACAGAAAAAAATGGAAGGTGACAAGTTACTCATTACTGGAATAAATTCTCCAGAAATGCAAAAGCCCAGCAATGTTTCAGTGACTTCTTAATGAAAAGAAAGTGTAATTTAAGGATATTATTAAAAACAAAAACGCCTTTTGCCTGAGGAAAAAAGATACTTTATAGATTACTGGAAAAAGAGAATGACAATGATCTCTCACACTCCATAATTATCTCCATACATAAACAGTGCTTCCCCTAACAGCTGTCTCTTCAGGTGAAATCTTTTCTGCCTATTTATTTTAAAGGAGGAACTTCAGAGAATGAGTAAGATGTATTTACAGATATGTAAAGTTTACCCTGTAAACTGAATAAGGTTTATCTTCTGTTTAAATATGCATTAGTAATTTTTCTAGGGACCTTTTGTAATGGACTACAAATACTGTCTATTAGAAGAGCAAAACACACATTCCAGAATGTCTAGAAGGATTCTTCAGGTTATTTTATAAACCTCTAAACGAGTTTTTTCTAGCTGTACTGATAATAAAGCACCGACAACAGCCCATTGATAACAGACATTAACTAGAGCCACACAGGGCTCCAGTAAGTAAAATAATGTTGAATACATTAACGCCAAGTGCCCAACCATTTATATAAATTGTCTTATCCAGAAGCTTTCAGTAAGTTACATTCTCCTTACTGAAAGTTGAGGACGGTACCATTCGTATTCCTCCTTCTTCCTAATTCTATGTAGTTAAGCTTCAAACGAGCCAATAACGGAGTGACTTGACCACCATGGTCCATTTGTAAAATGGAAAAAGCAGCCTTTACACACACACACACACACACAAAAAAAAAAAAGAAAAAAGAAAAAAAAAAAAGAAAAGAAAGAAAAAGCAAAAAAAGTACTGTATCAGATATAAAATAAAGCTACCATGCTGTATCTATTAACAATTATTTGCTATCACTCATAAGAATCCTCTGAAAACTATTTCTGTTGCTTTGAAATACTGTACCACAAATGAACAAGGGATGGAAATAGAGCCCCATTCAATCTCTACTATCATATTAAAGAAGGACCTTACACACACCACAGTGACCTCTCAACAGGTCAATCCTGCATTTCCCATTTGCAATTCAAACCCAAGACTGGAGCAGACCAAGGGCAAAATGGGCTCTTGATTATATTTAAGAGGTCACCATTGCTATGCAGAGTTGTAGGAAGCAGACCTCTAGCTTTATTGCATTTTTAAATTCTATCTTATACAGAAGCTGCTCATATTTGGCAGGGAAAACTGGAAAAGGGATGTTTATATTTGACTTTTCCTTACCAGTGGCCTGCATACTTTTTGTATTAATAATGGAAAATAATATGCTAAAATGCAGTGGATAGTAAGTTCAGTTTAAAAATAACCCTAGGTTATCTTTAGAAGATGAAAGACTAGCATCCCAAATTGGGCAAAAATTAAGTATTTAATGATGCCAGAATTTCAAACAGTTAACACTTGCACATACTAGCAAGTAAATACATGAAAAATACAATGTTCTCACATGAAAATCGGTGAGGATGCACTAATAGACTTGTCAACAGAGTAGCACAGACATTTAGATTAAAAATAATATGAGGTGGCCAAAACAATTTTTGCTATTTTTATCACTTTAAACAGAGCAATACCTCTTTTTAGAATTATCTTCCTATCTTGCATTCAAAATGGAGAAGAGGATGGGATAGAAAAGAACGGACTTAATGAAGAAAGGAGAGGTAGAGCAGTATGTGTCAACTACTCATAGAAATCTTTTAAGCTCTTATGAAAGCATATGTTGAACAATCATGTTTAACCATCTTACTTACAGAAATGCCACATAATAAGGAAGGTGAAACAAAATTGGGCCATTTACTTGTAAATGTTATGTGTGTTTTTTGGAAAGAGATTGAAAGACTAGGAAGACAACAATAATAATAAAACAAAGCAATGAATGAAAGAGACATTTCTCAGCCTTTTATACAAATGTCACAGAATAGCATACAATTATATTAGCATTTAAAATACAGGAAAACAATCTGGTCATTTTACACAGCTCCAACTGCTTCAGAAATGCACATGAGAAGGCCAAACATTTTATTATTCATGAAGGTTATGTCCAGAAGTGAAACACATGGAATTACATAAAAAATTCCATGTACAAGAAAACCACTTCATGTTTCTAATATTTTCATATTATACCTAAAGCGGTCACATATAAAGCAGTAAGTGTAATAAAATAAAACAGCATTAAAAGCATCTGAAACAACTTTATCTTCCTCAAAAATCTCTAGCAATCCGCTAGGGTATCTAGAGAGCAAATTGCATTTGGACTGTACACACCGTTAATTTCATCAGTTCATAACCTGGCTGCAGAATAATCCCTTTGTATTAACATCTGGTTGACATGTTCAGGTAGATCTCTGTTTGCGCCACAGGAATACATTTGCAGAGCTATCTTAAGATGATGGTTTAGAAATTTAGACAAGAAATTTACGGAGATAGCACAGATTAAAAAAAAAAAAACAAACCACAAACCCAAACTATTACGCAACAGAATGAATAAAAATTTCTGATAAGAACTTCAGTTCTATTAGCAAGTTAGCTACCTTGTTTTCCCAAAAGACTCTAATAGCTCTGCTTCATAAAATAAACAGAATATCTGAAATAAACCTAAGGCAGAGTTAACCATTCATTCATAAGGTATGCATCAGCGTGACCATGCTTTTGGCTTAAAAGGAGCAATTAGTGTTGGATAACACCTTCTTCAAACACAATTCAGCATTCTTGGAATTGTACTGTTTACAAACAAAGACAGATTTGGAAAACAACAAACAGTTTGAGTAATTTTTTTCTGCAATCATTCAAATTTGAAATGAACACCAACTCTAATTTAATTCCTATATGGCTAAACTTTGCAGCAGACACTCATGAAACATATAAATCCTTTTCCCAATGGCCGACACTATACTACTTTCCCTGAGAGATTACTGTAGAAATAACAACAATTTGCCATTTGCAAAAAGTTCACTGCCCTTACTGCAGCAAAGATCTCCCAGTTCACATCAAGTCCTCTTCCACAATGCCCCAGCACAAAGGGCAGGAGAAGGACCACTCCACATAGAACACTAAATTTTCTGGCTTTTGTGGGTTTAAGTCAGAGCCTTAATGTATTTGAAGACAGTTTTTTTGTCTGTGAATATTTATAACAGTGTGAAAAATCCGGGACAGCTGGTAATGCATTTTGAAGTGTGCTAACAACACTGTATCAAACAGCTTCCTATTGATCACATAATGCTTTTTGTGGCTAAGTATTTCATACATGGTGCTTATACATTTTGAATAAGAACTTCAAGTACCTTTTGCTTCAAGCGGTTTTTCACTTCTTTTATTCCCATTTTTGCATGATCTTTTGCCTGCATGAAAAATTAATTTAAGTTAAAATCCCCTTCTATTTCCACCAGTGAGTACGCTTGATTTCAGTGCATCAAGATTCACCTTCTCTAGTTACTAAAAATGGCAAGGAAAAAATTGTAACAGGATACTGAAAACATCCTAAAACAAACAGAAAGCTAATAAAACACCGAACAAACAAAACCCACCACCCTCCCCCACACACACACTCATTGCAAAAATTTTGTTTTCTCTGTTTTGGTGTCATAGACATCTTTCATCTTTTTGCATTCCACACCCTCGATCTCAACAGAAATAGTAAGCCTGCAAACTTTCTCCTTGCAGTACTCTGGATACCAGTTCCATTTAGTAGAGGTAATATCATTCTACTCATTTCTCTCACGCTGGAGGAAAGCAGGAGAAAATAAAAGTTTGAATAGTTATCTCAATGCTTTTTGTAGCATTATTTCCTAAAATTGAGCTTATAAGAAATCCTCGCTTGTCTCTATGTTGTTTTACCTTGCACAGTGAAACTGGCAGCCATACATGATAACACGGTAACACACTAGCGGTTTGTTAACAGAACTGAAAACATTTTCATTTAAAGAATAACTCAGTAAGTTGAGCTCTAAATAAGCAGGTATAAGAAGTCTCTAGGGAAAATTAATTGACATTTACAAAAGATGGCAACAATTTGGAAAATGAGAGGATTCCCTTATTCCGATGAAGCTGCAAGCAGAGAAACCTGAGGTAACAATGATTTCCAACAGAGTAATGATGAGATGGTAGAGCTGCTTAGCAGAGCATATAGGCGCTATTTCCCAGAAATAGTTCCATGTAATAAAGAGAATTTATCATCTATACTTTCAAAAGAAATCACAAGTTCCCCTTCTCCTTTGCATTTCAATTATGTTTAAATTTCAAAATGACTTTTCCATTTTAATTTGAAATTTAGATGAATGAGTATTTTAAGTAATTTTGTGAGTCCAATAAGAATGAATTTAAGTCTTGAGTTTCATTTGAAAGGTTAAAACAGAATCGTAATTAGACTCTTATCTCAGTAGTAAGCCAGTACTTGATACTTACAAACTTATAGACAGTCTTCATGGCAGGGTTAGCCTTGGTCTTTACTGTGTTTAAAATGGCTCCACTTCCTTTCTGTAATTATAGTAACAATAGAATAAATGTTATCAAAGCTCTTTAAAGCAAACAGCAATCTAAAATCCACCATTCTTAACTTAAAATAACAAAGCATTAACTATGCTTATTAGCAGAGCTAAGTATTAAAATGGTAAATTTAAAGAAAAAGAACACTAGTGAAAAACATGTTAAATGTTTCTCTCTGGTTTTCCAGAGGAGTCCCAATTCTGTTTAATACAGCAGTTTTCAAATGAAAATTCAGTGCTTCCTAATACCAAGAGCCCTTGTCTTATAGATCGTCTCACAAAACAGTGTTCTATGACTGTTCCACTCGCCCTCAGGGGTGTCCTGTACATCGCTTTAAAATCCTAAACAAGTTTAAGAAAAAAGCATCCTACCAAATACTTAATGTCTGGGGCAGAAAATTCAGTTTCAGGAAAGCCTGTATATTCAATCTGAAGTAGTACGATCATTTTTTATTTTCCTTTTCACGATCCCACAATACTATTTATCAAAAGCATGCTGCCTTTTTAAGATCCAAGTAGTCAATAAAGGGGTAAATTGAGGGAAAATGAAATCTAACTACAGTCATAAACATTAATTCTAGAAAAGCTGAATTGCATGTGGTGAACATAATAAAAGTCATAAGACAGTAATATGTCAGGCAGAATAATCTGTTAGTCTGGTCGGGGTTTTATACATCTTCCACACACTACTGACTATTGCTATACAGTACCTTGTTTGATAAATACAGGAGGTGGGTAAAATCCAAAGAATAAAATCTTAGATACTTTTATATTTTCTTATTTCAGCGCAAAATTATATTTCCAGAGATCGGATGCAATCAGATGCAAAATTTTAAGATTTACTACTTCTGTTACTACATGACAATCTTCAACAAAAATTATAAACTGTTGAATTTAATTACACGTATTTTTACATTCACTGTCAGCCATTCCCCTTTCTTATAATTTTAAAATTACTTGTCATTCTGCATATTCATATATATTTATGTATATATATTTACCTCCCTAACTATATGATGGGATTTTTTGCATTACGGTTATGAAATATCTTTAATTCAATTTATCAAGATAATATTGAGCTCAGCATTTTCTGTAAGGAACATAATTCCATTCATAACCAGGACAACAGACAAATGGAATGCTGCAAAACTCAATTCTGTCAGAAAACAATTCAGTGTTTCCTACTGACTCGTACCCGTAAACCAGAAATACTTTTACTTTTCAATACGTCACATTTCATGCATCAAAAGAGACTTTTAAAATCAGCTGTAATAACATATCATTCTCTAGAAGTATTTAAATTTTTAATTTATACAACTAGAGCACTAAAAACCAAAGAGATCCAAACAGTGCTGTCCCCATTCAGCACTTCACACCATTTAGCTTTATAAAGACCTTTTTGGTGTGGCAACGTTCCCTTTTCTATCAAAAGGAAAGAAAAACCACATTATTTTCTAAAATGACAATAACTTCTTTCCAGCTGTCTCCAAGACATTAGAAGTGGATTAAAAAACTTGAGAATTCCTATGGTGATTTTTTTTTTTTTTTAGCGTACTTTTTCTTCTGTTCTTTACTTCATGTGAAGAGCGCATTAGTTTCTCACAACTAAACTCAAGTTGGCCACAGCTAAACAGTGCAGGAAACAGGTCGCTCATGTGCGTGAGGACAGAGGTTAGCAGCCACACAGAACTGTACAACGGTCCAGTAAGAATTAGAACGTCTGTTGGAAGAATACTGTGTTCTTACCCTTACTGTAGAGAGCCACTGGTGGTACAATTTGTCACTACCTAGAGAGAACCACAAAAACAAACAAACTGTAAGCCTCTACCAAGTAGAAAACAAGCTAGAAATGTGAAGTTTTAGCACTTAGTGGTTCTAGGAGCATGATACAGAAACAGGACAACCATCCTTTTCTTTTAATGGAAACACAACAACAAAAAATTGACAAGATGCCTACAATTTTTCTTTTACTTGCTAAGAGGCATTTCTATTTTATCTGGCTTGTCTTTCAGACATTTGAGAATGCTGAGATTCTTTTTTAAGATCGCTAAAAGAAATTTGAGGTGGTTCTGGGTAAAGCCAAGGTTTTTCAGTATCCTCCATTGCATGAACTCTTTTAGTTGTACTTTAGCCAAGTGGTAAAGCTGAGGTTTTGTAAGACCGAAGAGACTTTATTCAGACTACAGTACATTCCTGAAAGTTCTTGACAGAAGAACAAAAATTTCACACACTTCAACCTACAGGGATCATTGCAGCCTCAGTTATTTAGGTGAGTAACCACAATGACCCATTACATCATGATGGCCCACAAACAGTAAGTCAAGAACAGAGTCTGAAACGACTTTAAAATACTGTATTTCTTACCTGCATATTCTCCCATATTTATCTCTTCTTCAAAAACATCACTGAAGCCTTCTCCAGAGTTAAGAAGATCCAGACGGCCATCAATGAACTACATCAACATTAAAAGAGAGCATAAACATATCAGCCATCCCATCCTTTATCTTTTCAGAAAGACTTTCTTCTGCATTTGCTAGAATAACCCCAATTTTCTTATGGGGAAGGGAGTCTAAATAGAATGAAAATACAACCAAAACTGGCAAAATGTTTACCAATGTAAAAAGGTATGCTCCTTCACTGAAAAAAACAGTATTCATGTGTTTGTCTATACATACATGTTTTCAGCATCCCTGAAGCAGCAATATCACGTTTAACAGTAACATGCTTTCTGTCCAAAGTTTACACCAGATATATATCGAGTCTAGGCATGCTCAGATCAAAACTGAGCACAGAGACCTTTAGGGGAAAAAAACCAGACACCTTTTAAAATACAGAAAGCCTTATCACCTGAATCTGAGAAAAGCCAGCAAGCAGGAATTAAGGTGCTGCCAACTACATGAATTTTCCTCATTATGTGGCTGACAGATCAAGGAATATAGGAACAGCCCTTGAAAAAACACAGTTGTATTGTTAAAGAATCTGCTTCTACATTAGAGCAATTAAGCCAGTACCTGCTTAAAGAGCTGGAGCTGAATGGCGTTCTGAAGAAACTGCCTCATGACAGCAGAACGATGGGACACAAATGTTTCTTCACAAAAAGTGATGGGTTCACCCTGTAGAGTTCAGAGCATTAAACACTGAAAAAGCTTTGTCTGAATCCGTCTGAATCCACTGTCTCCATTGTATCTACTTCCCTTCCAAAATAAATAGATAAATAAAGTAGGCCTTACATAACGTTGAGTGAACTGTAGTTTATTTCCAGGTTTCAATCATGTGACTGAGAAACAGGTCGGAAAATGGCAAATTGCGTTATCATCAAAATAAAAAACATTTGCTTTATGCACATTTTGCTAACGCTGCTGAAAGAGCTTTCATCATCCAAAAAGGTAATTTTACTTAATGTCCCCAAAACACGACACACAGTCATCTGAATTTTGTATGTTCTGCTTATCTGCCTCAGTGGACCCAGGCAGTTAACCTGCACAAACAAGTCAGGAATGTCTACTCTCTTCTCTCCACAGCTCAGCAAGACTACACTTTCAGATACTGAATGAGTGAAATTTCCCTTCTTCACAACCTTGTTGGCAAAAGACAGAAATTGTTTTCCAGCTCTACTTTTATCTTATTTTAATGAGTTATGTTAATGCTGAAGTCTGCTGTGCATCTGCCATAAGGGCACAAATTTCCTCCACACTTAAATCTACAAATACTCAATGTAGTAAGCAAATATATTTATTTAATTAAAAACAAGAAAGTAAAAAAGAATTATAAAATTATACTGATGTATAATATGGAGGCTTTTTCATACTCATATTAAAATATATTTGGACTCTTCATCTGCTGAGTGTTTAAAATCAACATTAGATAGCAAAACGTCTTAAAGCACTCCCTTTAAAAGGGTGGTATCGTTCCATTTCTGAGAGCTTTTTATATTAGCAAGCTCGTTTACCATTGGCTGTGTAAAGTCAGGATAACAGGGCCACTAAAATGACTGTGCTCAAAAAACCCCGTGCCACAGCACTGCTTTGAGCATACTGGGTTTTCCTCACCAATTTATAGTGGAAGCCACCATGTAGCCCCAGGACTTCTAACACCTAATCCCCACTAAAAGGATACTAAATCCTCAAAACCATGTTGGGCAAACTGTGCTGACACTCATATTTCTTAAAATCCATAGGTATTCAGCTTTTTCCCTGAGTTCACAACCGATCAAACTTACCGAGACATTTCTGGCTGCGGTCTGGTAGTACCCCAGAGCTTACCAACGCGACGGCTGATACTCGCTGCTGACTGCCTGTCCTTTGACATACCTGACCTCGCCGTTGCAACCAAATGGTGCAAACAGTTAGATCGGATTTAATGCAATTTATGAGGAAAGTGAAGGAACTACTTGGCTTCAAATAATCAGACTGCAGTAACAACATTCTTCCTGGCCCCCAATGAACTGGACAACCAGAATCACCAAGATGGTACACCGGGCACCTCACCTCTAACCCAGCGGTCAACAAATGCCAGCGGTCACAGCTTGGTCTTAACATGAGAAAAGGGATTAATTGCAAGTGACTGTCTAAGCACAGGATGGGTCTCTTTCAAAGAGGGAAGAAGTCACTCTTTTAGAATAGTTTCTTTCACCTTTTCCTTGGGCCAATGAATTTCCATGATTTTGGAAAAGAAAGCAGGTTTCTTATGTGACAACTACAGTTTCAGGATAATTAATTTTAAAAATAATAATCTGTCTTTGATTTACTCTAGCAGGCATTTACAGGGAAAAACAAAATCATACAATCTTTCCAGGCAAGAAGCATGAGTGTCTAAAACATCTTTTTTTTTTTTCCCCTCAGGATAAAGAATCACTTTGTTTCAAAGTAAACAAAGGAAAAATGTTTGGAAAAACAGGTCTGGCTGCTCTGTGCCTGGTAGGGAAGACACTGGTGATAGTCTCCACGACACACTGACTACTGCCACACCAAAAGTGCCATCTCAAAACTCAAGGTGCGTCCTGTCCAAAAGGTTTTAATGCATTTAAACGATTAACAGCTGGTCATACACTCACGTTAGTAGGTGGCAGAGAGGGACAGAACTGTTGCATGATGTGGAAGTGTCAAAACAAGACTTTGAGCAAGAGGTAACTTGGCAAATGGAAAAAGCCATTAGTTGATTTTGAGGTGGGACTGACAATTTGGACTAATATAAGCTCCCCATGCAAGAACTTAATATATTATATTCAGCTATTGCCATCCCACTTGAGATTTGTTTATACTCTCTCTCAGGTACCAGGAAGTAAGTGTCAGGTACTACAGAGCACTACAATTAGTAAGAGAAAATCTTAGGAGATCGCAAATGCATCTGTTACTACAGAAACTGCAGCGACAGACACTTTCCCAGCGTGGGCTAGGAAAGAGTACAACAAACAACAGCATGCAAAGTCTACTTGACCAGTATGAAAAAGGCTTTCCCATCAAATTCAGCTACCAGAACATAATAAAGGGTGCATGAAAAATATTTGTGTCTAACATAGATACAGTCTGGAGTGTGAAAAGAGCTTGGAGCAACACGTAGATTAGTCAATGATCAGAGAAGCTGTTCACCAGAGGAAGGTTTAGCTTTTGTTTAAGCCTCACTTACAAAACCCTTTAAAGCAAACAAACAACCCTTCCTACAATCTACGAGAATCCAAAATTTCTCCCATGGCCAGAGAAGAGTCCGAACATTGTGCAAAGAACTACGCCCTGCCAGACAGAAGCTTCCTCTACTCCACTGTACATCCAACACAATGACCCAGCTTCCTTTCCAGTCGAGCTATGTACCATTCCTACAAACACACACATTGCAGCTGGGGGAGCCCAGTATTATTATCATGTTAACACACTTCCTTCCTCAAAGTACTACTGATTGAGTTTGTTCATTAGGTTGATTAGACCTTTTGACTTCTTAAGAGCCAATTCAGGCTCAACTGCTGCTAGATGATAGGAAAAACTTTAATCATCAAGGTCAAGCGTGAGCTTTTCAGCTTAGAATGCATTAGTGCCTTCCATCCTCCATGACCTCCAGAAGGGTGAACGCACTGTTGCTAACCCCCATCCACAGCTTCATTACAAAAAGACAAGCTGGACAATAAGACCATTTTCTTGACAGATGTAGTTAACTGTAAGTTATAAAGCTAATCAGCTCTGCTTTTACTGACAGATGACATTATACAAGAGGGGACATGCTATGAACTGCAGGTATTTTGTGAAATGAACGGTCTTGCTCACATGTAAAACAATTATAATAACTTGTCCTGATAAACCCATCAACTCCTAAACTTGCTGTTTCCAACAATTAGAATCTAGGCCTCGATTGTCAACACCTTAAATAGCCATTATTCCCCTCTCCAACTATAAATGCATAACAGAGGCTAAGATATGTCACTGCAAATGCTCTAAATGTGTGCACAATGCAACTCTACAAGGAATCTGATTTGATCTGTAATATTAGATAATTCACATATATTTCAAGATTGGATCACAAAATTATTTTTTTAATACAAAAATTTACACATTTCAAAGACGTTTGATCTGCAATCTTAACACAAGAGAAGTAACTTTAAAATATAAGACTAAGATTTAAGACTCCCGGATGCATTGAAAAAATAGGTGCCTTTTCTCCATGCCTTTGCAAATCTCCCTTTATATGAATGTTTTATATTCATATGGCATAATGAAGTTCATCAGGGCAGTGCCGCTACCTCATGACCCCTTAAAAAACTGAAAAGTTTCAGCCCATATCTGATCTGTTGCCAGCCCGATTTTTAAATTGGAATTCTGTTACATTCTAAAATAATGTTTAAAACTACTTAGGGCAGCAAGTGAAAAACGAAAGGAGTCCAGGACTTATTTCAGACTGTTCTAGAGTTTCATGAAACCTGCTGCTATATTTTAAGCAGCCATAATGCAAATGGAAAGATAAAGCCTGATTTTGATTAGCTATGCTGTAAAAAAATTCACCATGATCCCCCATCTTTCAAGGAACTCGCTTGTCCTCAGAAAGAAAAACTTTCTTTCAAAGAGGGTACAGGACCTCGTGCAGACAGTTATTGTCAGTGAGAGAAGTATCATATCTGAATTGTCCGACTTGCCATACTCACAGACAAGCCAGCCTACTGGTTATGGCAAGAACTTTCGCAGTGAATATCAAGGACTAAAAATATGTGGGACAGAAGACAGCACAGATTAGAGAAGGACTTGGAGGAAGGGACAGAGGCGAACACAAATGATTCTTCTGGGAAGACACACAGGTGCTAAGATAACTCATGGAAATCTTATTCCCACTCCTGCAAGAGATGAGACACCAAAGTGTGCATCTGGACAATGGGGCTTTAAAGACACCACATGACTGCTGGAGCAAACATTAAGATAATAAAGACAGGGTTCAAATTAGGTCAACAGCGAGAGTCTCTTGCACAAGCAAAGATTTCACAAAACCTGATTCTAAGGGGGCAAAAAAACCCACCAAAAACCACAACAACCCAAACCTGAAGACTTTGTTTAGACAACCCTAAGAGTTATGCCATGGAAGATATATGTAATCTCTTCTGCATTATCATGGTCAGCATGTGGCGCAGGGTAATGAATTTTGTGCTGCTATATGCATGCCTTTAAACCATGTAGGTGCTCTTTCAAAGCCTCTCTAATAAATACACAAGCCATTAGAGCTGCTCTGTAAACCAGCCACGAAATGAAAAAATGTGGGTGGAATTTAAAGGTGCAGAACAAGATGACAATCTGACAATCTACGAGCTGTAAGCCTAGCGTCAGTATACTGTGCAGCAAAACCCCAAATATACAGCAAGAACAATGACATGCAAGAGATTCACACATCACTGTTTTATTACTACCCAGGTGTTGCAAATAACCACATCCTTTACTAAAATTGGTCATGTTGCAAATGACAAAGTAAAGCCTGTAGGGATATTCTAGGAATCATCATCCTTAATTCTATCCAGAATTATAATGAAACTAAGATAGGAGAATGATCTTACTGATCTAGATATATACGTCAATGTCAAATACAACAGCAACCAAAGGCAAGCAAGTGCTCCACAGACCTTTCAAGAATTGTGATTACAATGTCA